ACACTGCTAGGTAGAGTCTTTCAGATGCCTTTTGCGGTAGACTCCTGTCTGCTGGGATGTGGCCCGTGGTAGCTCAGTAACCAAGTAGTTTTCCAAAGCAAGGGGAACAAGGACTATTTCTAACAGGATCTCAAGAGCAGGCTCTTTGTCCTCCCCCCGCTCCCAGGGGAGGAGCAGTCCTGTTAGGCCACAGAGGAGGACTTTGCAGCCAGCCTTGAAGATACCTGATAAAACAGGGTCAAATGAAAGGGGAGGAGGTCCTCCCCTATCAGTGGACTTGGAAAGGGGCAGGGAGGAGACCAGGAGGGAGTTGGGGAGGGGGAGGGAATGAGGGAGTGGGATACAGCTGGGACACAGAGTTAACAAATTGTAACTAAAAAGAAAAAGAAAAAAGGAAAAAAAAAAGATTACAGGTGTGAACCACCATGCTTGGTTTATAGGATGCTGGGGATTTGTGGTACTAGGCAAGCATTTTAGCAACTGAGGTACATCCCAGCTTGTAAATTTGGAGCCTCAGGCATTTAGCATAATGCCAGCACTTGCACATCTTCTCTGTGAGGCACTCAACTTGCATGCTAGGAACTGACCCTGCAGTCCCCTGGTAAAACAGAAAGTACTCTTAACTGCTGAGCTGTCTCCCCAGATATATGTATTGATATTTATATGTAAATAAATTTTATTGTTATAGACAAAACAGCTTAAAAACCAGAAACCTCTGGACCAGTGGTTAGAGCACTAGCTGCTGTTTCAGAGGACCTGGCTTGGGTTCCCAGCACTCACCACCCTCTATAACTGCAATCTCAGGGAATCCAACACCCTCTCTGGCCTTCTCGGGTACCAGATACATTTGGCACACAGACAAATACACTCAGGCAAAACACACTCATATATACATTTAAAAAAATAAAGAAAAACAAACTTTAAAACACAAAAACAACCACTTATATCTCCACACGTCTGTAAATCAGTTGTCTTCGCAGTGGAAGCTTTGCTTTGGTGAGTATGTTTAATTGTTTTAACGACCTCACTTATTTCCATTAAATTTGTAAGTTGAGTTATGAATTATGGGCTTGATTATGGCATTTTCATCCATAGATGTCATTATACTTTGTTCTGATTCATCTCTCTCCATTACTGCCCTTTCCCCACTCTTCTAATTTTATTTCTGTTGCTGTAATACCCTGTAACACCTGACAGAAGGCAACTTCTGGGTGAAGGGAGTGTACTCTTGCTTATTGTCCCAGGCCTTTGGAGGAAGTCAAAGCAGGAACACAAGCAGCTAGTCAGCTCTACAGTCAAGAGCATAGAGAAAAGAATCATGGATCCTTGCTTGCTCACGATCTGCTCAATTTCTCCAGCCATACAGTTCAGACACACACACACACACACACACACACACACCCGCCTAGGGAATGGTGTTACCAACAATGGGATGAGTCTTCCTACAGAGATTAGCAATCAAGACAGTCCCCAACAGACATGTCAGTGTAGAGATTTCTTCATGAATACTCTCTTCCCAAGGGATAGTAGATCGTGTGTCAAGTTGATGGTTAAAACTAACCAGCACCCCACCCCACTCTCACTGCCCTTCTTCACCCGATATACTACCATAATCTGTGTATATGTCACAAGCATCTCATTACCGTTCCCCAACCCTACTTTAAGAGTTTCTCTTCCTTCTTCAAGGCCCAGTTTCTGCTTCCATGTAGAAACACACACACACATACACATTTAAATTTATATTCTGCTTATGAGAGAAAATATGCAGTATTTGCCATTCTGAATCTGGCTCATTTTACTTAACAGAATAATCTCCAGTTCTGTGCATTTTCCTGACAATGTCTTGATTTTACTTTTTTAATGGCCAAGCAGAATTCCAGTGTGTATTGACATCACACCTTCTTTGTCCCTCCATCTGTTGTCAATTTTGTAGCAAGCATATTTCACTGAATTTTTTTCTGCACACCCACCCTGAAAGTGTCTACTCACACAGTATACTAGTTAATTTTCTCATCACTGAGAAAACACCTGAAAAAAGCAATGCAAGGAAGGAAGGAAGGAACTACTTCAGCTCATAGTGTGAGCTGTATCATGTTCATCACGGCTGCAGGAGTGTGAGGCAGCATTGCATCTGCAGTCAGTCAGGAAGAAAAGAAAGATGAGCCCTTTTTTTGCCCAGTCTGGGATGCTGGCCATCAGTTGGTCCTGCTCACATTTAGCAAGGATCTCCCCACCTCAACAAACTCAGTCTACAAACTCCCTCACAGAGGTCTGTGACACACAGAGTCCTGTCTCCTAGGTGATTTTAGATCCTGTCAAGTTGACAGTCAACAGTAACCATCACACACAGTTTGTACTACATCCGAGGAGTGATAAGAGTATCACTACCAATTATTGCTTCAAAGAAGAGCTCCCTTTCTTGTTAGCTTTTGCTTCCCCCTTCACCCAAGCTCGGTCCCTCAGCCTACAAGAACCTGTTTTCTGTCTTTAATAGACTTCCCTATTCTGGAAATTTCATATAAAAGAAATGTGACAAAGATGAGCTGCAGGACCACTTCTTGGCATCTGGATGGCACAAACTCTCTCTGCTGTCTGCCTTCCTCTCCGGGTGTTTCCCAGCTCTCATCCCATGTAGAAAGGCAGAGTGTCCATGAGAACATTTAGATGGTGGTCGTTTCACAGGTGTCCAGCACCAGATGGGACACCTTTGGGTCAGCTAGCTAAGCAGGCAGGATTCTGGAACTGAGCTTCTCCCATCAAAGGGGGTGTGGACATCACAGGGACCAGCATCACCTAGAGGAAGCTGTGGTATGCAGATGCTGTGTTTAGCCTGGAAGGACAAACAAGCACCATTACTTCCATAATGAGGTGAAGATGAGAGCATACTCATGCTGGTGGTAGAGGAATGTCCCCACAGGCTCATGTATTTGGATGTGTAGTCCCTAGTTAGTGGAACCATTTGGGAAGGATTAGGAGGTGTGTCCTTGGAGGAGGTGTGTCACTAGTGGTGGGCTTTGAGGTTTCAAAAGCCAGG